CCCCAAAACCCCAAAACCCCTAGTTTAAATACATAATCATTTTTAGGAAAAATGATCAAATAATTAGTTAGACTTAAATAAATAAAATTATATATACTCTTGGAATATAATGGATAATTCTCAATTTAGCTAAAAGCTATAGACTTTGTCCCTAAAACTCGAAACCTTAGCTTTTAGAATAATTAAATTGTCAAGTGTTACTGAAAATGCAGAAGACTATACCAGATTCTAGTATTACCATTTTAAAAATGAGATATTAGAGTTAACTTCTGAGATATCTGCTGATATTGAGGAATTTGGAGAGGATGAAAAGAAGAAAATAGATGCAAAGATTGTATTTGATGCCTTTAATCAACAAATATAAAAATTAGAAAGGATTTTTCTGTCAGAAGATGTTTATGCCTTCAACTAAAAGCAACTCTTCGAAGCTGGCTTTGAAAACGGTATGGAATCTGGTCCAAGGAGAACTACAATTATTACAAAAAAGTCAAGTTCACAAGTAGCTGATTTAGAATTGTCCCATGAAGATAGATAAATTGAATAAAACATATTATCAATGACTTAAGATCAGATCAGCTAAGAGAAATCTGATTCGATAGCTGTACTAAAACTGGCTGCAGTTTATGAATCATAAGAGGAGTCGCAGAAATAGGTAGAAAAGTATGCCTCTATGCTAAATATGGATAATTTTAAGGAGTTTCTTTGTCAGCACAAAGTTGAGGCCACTAAGGAAGGCGATCTAAAAGCTCAATCTAGGAAGAAGGGCCTTAAAAAACTATTTGGAAAATTCTTAGGAGGAATCCTAGGCAATCTCTTAGCATTGAAGCATCACAAGAAAAGTAAAAAGGCAATGAAGCGAATGTTTTGGAAGAAATATGAAAGCTAGATCTAAGAAATTGAGAAACCCTTGGATGAAGGTGTTAGAACCTAAGAGATGCAAAACTAGGTTTGACAATCATTATAAGCATTAGTATATCCTTAAAAATATTATAATTCTGATTTCATAATCAAACATTTAGATTCTTTTAATGAGGGGTTTTGGGGTTTTGGGGTTTTGGGG